GGGGGGGGGGGGGGGAAGAGAGATACGCGCGCTGCGAGAAACGAACCGTCGAACCCGAAACGACGAAGGGAGACGAGCGAGGGGAGGACTTTGCTATTTCGGTGCTAAGCAATGGAAAGGAGATAAGCCCGCTAGAAATAGAAGGCCGAGCGGAGCAACGTTAAACGTGCCAGCCACCCACGTGAGAATCCTTTCACGCGAAGGAACGGTATCCATTTTAGAGAGGAGACCTCGCGCTTACATCAACCCGTTCTTCTCCGTTTTCCTCTCTCTCTCTCTCTCTCTCTCTCTTTCGCTCGCACGGCTCAACTCTTGTCGTACCTGAAAATTTCGCGAAGGCGTTTACAATGTAAATTACGCGACACCGCCAGACGATGCCGCCGCCGCACGGGGTGTTAAATTGTAAATTCCCGCGTCTCTTCTCTCTCTCTCTCTCTCTGTCTCTGCTCTCTTGCGGTGGCTACCGCTCTCGAAGGAGAGAGCTGCTATATCGCGCGAGCGCGGAGTTAAATTAAAATTTAATGAACCGTGGCATCCGAAGTCCTTTCATGTCGTGTCGGAGATCTCGCGTCGAGGAGCGAGGATACGCCGTGTGCTTTTAATTACGTTAGCGATATACTCGGTGGAGGCTGCGTTCACGCTCTGAGGCTAAGTTCACCGTAAGAACGCGTGTCGCCTCTAAGAATCCCCCCTCTCTCCGCGTGTCGTTGATCCCACGCGCCAAATGGATCCTTGGAAGGATATGCCCCGTTCACGCGGACGCGCGACATCTCAGATTAATTTCACGCTCCAGGCGTGTGCGACCATTCAGATTCGGTTGCATTGTGATCTCTTTTGGTTTCCAGAAGGAACCCAGCGACAAGCAGAGGACGTCCGCGAGCTCGACTTACAACACTTTCCCGGACGACCTTTATCTGGACGACCAGGACGCTTTAGAGGGCTCTGGCCGGGGTGGAAACGACAATCGTGACGACCTCGAGGCGTCGGGTAGCGGCCTTGGTCCGGACGACGAGGACGGTGATGACGATCACGGTAATTATATTGAAGATTTTGATGTTCATTAGTCGAAGAAATATCACACTGAGAAATTATTCGGTAAAAAATTAACAAACACAGATATTTCCGTTTAAAATACAGATGAATTTTTTCAAGATTTGATCAAGAAACATTCGATGAAAAATATCGGTTTATAATTTTTTCATCGGTTTATTTGATAAAATGCCATTATGATCCGATTAAAGTATCCGATTAAATTTAATCGAATATAAAAATTACTGGGAATTAGTGGGAATCGAAAATATCCGTTTGTTAATTTTTACTGGATTTATTAAAAAATGCTTAAGTTAATGAGACTGTTTGAACCAACAATTCGTCCAAGCAAACGTTTAACAAATTATATGGTTGTTGTAAATGTTATATATGTTCAATAGATACATTATTTCTTGGAAGGCGGGTGACCGCCGATTTTGTCGATCCAATTGCTTTTTTTCTCAATGTAGATACATACTCGTAAAGTAGGAAAAATTTCAACGAAGCATGAGACATTTTTAGAAAACAAAGAATCGGACTGTACGCAGTAGATTTTCCAAGAAGAACATTAGGGACAAATACTTGAGAATTTATCTGTACGATATAAAGTTTCCGTGAATAAACTTTATATCCCACAGATAAATTTTTAAGTATTTTTTTTCTCAGCCTATAGAATCTTTTCAGTGGCTTTAAAACATGTGTGTGAAAACAAATTACCATACTGAATACATATTTCTTATATTATGTATTACTTTAATAGTGCGCAGAGAGAAAAAAGTTTGATTTAATTATTCCGACGAGATGAACAAACCAATCGTGTTTTGGTTGAAAGAGACAAAATTTCTGATTCTTATAACCAATTTGATTTCTACAAGTCAGAGATTCTGCTTCCGTCAAATAGATAGATTTGTTGAATTGATTTTTTATTGAAGAAAACAGAATTTCTTAGAACCGAATTTGATCCGTAAGAATAGAATATATTGTTTTTCCCGCAACCAAAAATCAATTCAATAAATTTATTTATGCAACAGTTCCTTTGCAAATGACGACGAGCAATGTAACGCGATCGATACGGTTACAATCTGCCCGTACTGAGAAGAAGTTTAATTCCGTGAATAAAAAGCTCGTTTCTCTGAATGAACTTTATATCCCACAAATAAATTTTCAAGTATTCTTTTCTCAGTGCGTCACTGGCTAGAAGCGCAATGCATATTTCGTCTTTCTGCTATCCCCATAGACGCGCTTACACATCAACGCTACGCAGAGAGAATTTCATAGTAGCAGAATAAATGCACAGACGCGCTAGTAGCGCGCGTCATTTAACTAGTAATTCCATAAAGTAATATTTGATACATTTTCTGAAATATCAGGATTACTTAGACAAAAATATGATTCAACGCATAAGGATTGTTTAATCTTTCGTGGTATTCCCACTATTTCATTTACACATTCTATACACACACAAGAATTTAATTCATTTCATGCACCGAGACAGTAAAACACTTTTTATCAGTTTTCATCTTATTGTAGGGGGTGTATTTTTTGATTTTATAACTTGGTGGAAACAGTACTAAGTCAATGTTTCTTGTAACAATTTGTTACTTCTTGAATAACAACAACAGTAATGAGTAATTTTTTAAGATTAGCAATGGTTATAATGGTTTTTTTTTTAATAAGTAACCAGGAACGAATAGAAGCATGCTAGTTTCAAAACATAACTCTTTCGATCTTATATAAATAATATAGTATGATTATTGTATTATATATACATATAGTATGATCTAATATGATAATATGATGCTCTGTAAATTTGCTTTTTATTTAAAGTCTGTTGATCCAAATTTCTCTATTTTACTCAGATATATACACATCAAAGTACATCGCTTTCTCTGTGAGTTAATTTTATATGAGTTTCCTTAGCGGCTTCTTTTATAAGTTTTCTTCTTTTAGAGTACGCCAAGCAAATCGTATCGCAATTAGTTCTTCAGTTAACTTTAATTATAATGGTAAAAATATCCTCTTTCTCTCTCTCTCTTTTTCTTGAGCAAATTTCTCTTCCTCTCCTCTTTCTTTTTTCTTACTCTCTTCTTCGTCTTCTTTAACACTGAATTCATGAAAACATAGCTATCAAAATTCACGCAATAACATGACAACCGTAAACACGACAACGAGACAACCAATCAATAACGCGGATAACTGCAATACTTTGATAATTTCGAGACAACTCCGATATACATCGCACAGCATGCCTTTCTTTAACTCTGTGGAACACAGTGGTTTTAACGTGAGAAATAAAATAGGAAAATAGAAAAAATTCATTTTAGAAGAAATGTTTTTTGGATTATCATACTAGACATGTTACATAAATATCTTATTAGAATCTGAATTTCGAAGGTTTTGTGTTTCAAAGGGTTAAAGAAAAATCAAGTTACAAAATATATCTAATCAAACTGTGCGTTTATCGCTTTCATTCATATAAATGTGTATATATATATATATATATATATATATATATATATATATATATATATATATATATATAT